GTCTTCCCGCCGATGGCGCCGGAGCGCGTAGCCGGTTGCTAGGTGACGACGCCCAAACGGCGCCCCCTGCCCGCGCGCCCTGCCTGGATGGTTGCTGAGGTCCTGGCGGAGCCGGAGTGAAGCGGGGGACCCTCTGTGATTCCCGAGACCCCCTTCCCGCTGGTCCTGGCAGCCTCTGTGGGGCGGGCGGAGGCGAGAAGGACGGTTCGGGAGCGCCCGCGGAGCCCGCTGACAGGTACGGGGAAGAGAAGCAGATGGGGCCCGACAGGGAGGAGGGCGAGGCGCCTTCCCTCGGCACTGGCACCTCCCGGGGTCTGCCGGCCAGCTCTCATCTTCCGTGCTTCCCGTCTTCTAGCTTTCGCTAACCACCTTTTTAGTCTTCTTCCCAGCTCCTTGATTAAAGTTAACGGTGATTTTTTTTTTTTATCGCCACAATAAACGGAGCTTTTTAAAAAGATACTCTCCCGTATTCACTAGTTCCCCCCGACGGTGCCCTAACTTGGATCCATAAAAACAATCACCAAATCTAAGAGCTTATTATGTGCCAAGCAGAGAGCTGAAAACTTTAAATTCCTATTGACAGCTGAAGAAACTGAGGCACAAAGAGGATGCGGTGCTCTGGCCGTAGGAGGGGGATCCGGAGCAAGGGCAGGTCTGCGCTCTCCCCCGCCCCCACCCAGCACCAATGCTCCGAGTGTTCTGAAATGTGTAGATTTAGGACACAGGCAAGGGAAGTAACGCCTCCCTTAATTTATTCTCTGCAGCTCCTGTTATCACTGGCTCAGGGGCCAGGTACTCAGATGGTGCTAGACGCCCTTGACCCCTCTATTCCCTTAAAGTCTGTGTTAGTCTGGGCACGGGGGCGTCTGCGAGTTCCCTGTGTGATGGTGGACGTCCATGTTCGCTTTTGAGTACTTGATTGATCTTCCCCGCTCCCCTCTAGCTGCCACCCAGTCACTGCTCCCCTAAAGAGCGAAACCCCTCCTGAGTTGCCTCTTGTCTCCAATTCCTTTCCATCTCTTCTCTCTTGAGCCCACTCCAATCAGATTTTCACCCAACTGCTCCTCCGAGGCTCTTCATCAAAGTCATCCTTGACCCTGATGTTGCTAAATCCAGTGATTGGGGCTCAGCTCCATCTCTTCTGTGACCTGTCAGCAGCAGGTGGCCCAGCTGAGTGTTCCCCTCCTGGACACACCATCCTCACTTGGCTGGAATAGATCACACTCTCCTCCTCTCCTCCCGTGGCTGCTCCTTCTCAGTCTCCTCGGCTGGTGCCTCCTCTGCTCCTCAATCTCCTAACACTTGAGCCCCAGAAGTCCTGAAAAAAATCCCAACATCATAGTGGCCCAAACAAGATTATCCATGTTTCCGTAAAGGAGGTCCCTGGGGAGGCAACACTGGGGGGTTTGACAGCCCCAAAAAGTCCTGAGCGACCTGGGCTCTTCTAGCTTGCCCTTCTGCTGTTTTTAACATATTTCCTCACGGTCCAGGATGACAGTCTAAGTTTCTGCCATCACCTCCTGAGTCCAGGCAGCAGGACGGAGAAAAGAAGGGCATGCTCCTCCCTTTCAGGGAGACCTTCCAAAAGTCTCACCCCTGTCACTTCTTGGCATACCCAGCTGCCAGGGAGGCTGGGAAATGTCATCTTTCAGTTGGGCAGCAATAGGCCCAACTAAAAACAAGGGTTCTGATACTCAGGAGCAAAGGGAGAGTGGAGATTGAAGAGCAACCAGCAAACCTGCCACGTGGGTGTGTACTTTAAGCACACGCCATCAGAGCATGACTTGGCAGAAATCCTTGGGAAGCTATCTTTAATCAGAATTAAAAGCCAGGAAAAGAATGTTTTTCAGTTAACACACATTTGGGATCCATGTTAATGAAGCCTCTCTGGTGATTGAGAGTGTGAGCTGGTTTGTGTCTGATGGAATCTGGATCACCTCCTGTGATCTCCCTTCTGTCTCTAAAGGATTTGCTGAGAAAGGAGAAGCTTTGGTCCAGCCCACCTTCAAGGTTTCCTTAAGTATGAGACAGTCAAGTCCTGATTAGTGGAGTTAAAATCAATATAAAAAAAATCAATAAGCTTGGGAATTAAATCCCACTTCCCACATATATGGTTTTACATCATTAAAATAAAGCTGAGATGCTGAAAGCATGCGTCAGAATTAGATGCATGTAATACCTATTTCCCACCCAAAGATGTGCTTGTTTTTGTGAAGTTTATAGCTAATTTCAGGGGGAATGCAGGATAAAAGTGTCTCTTTTCCTGGTGTCCTCCCTCACGGCAGGCTGCTCTGTGCCAGGTGTAGGGGTGCAGAGCCCTGGCCCTGAGGAGCCCTCAGGCCGGAAAGTGAGCTGGAGTTGCAGGGAAGGATGGTTCCAGCCCAGCTGGGCTCTGCAGGGGCCCCACTCTCTCCACCCCACGGCCCTCAACAACCCCCCTCTGCATCTTCCACTTGGGGCATCCAGTCATTGCTTCCGGGCTGTTCCATCCAGGCCCACCCTGGATTAGGGGCAGGCTTAAATGGTTCTCTTGCTCGTCCTTGACTTGCTCTTCACCAAAGGCCCTTGGATCATCCTCTCTTCAGAATGTTCCAGCCCCAGGACAGGAGGGGAAAGCAGGGAAGCCATCTGCCCTGGGAGTAGCTCCCACTGTACACACGCAGACCATCCACTCCTCCCTCCCACATCGGGTGCAAGAGGGAGCCCTTTCCCTGGACGTAGATCTGGTTCATCCAGGCAGAGCGTGTCCAGAGCAGATGCAGGAAGGCAGTGTTGAGAGCCAGAGCCACATCTCAGGACAGCCCCACAATGTGTCAGCCATGAGGGGATGGGCAGGCAAGAAAAACCTCTATCCTTAACGTTGTTTCTGTAAAAATAGACCTTTTATGTAGATTTATTCTTTTCCTTGTGAGCCCTGGAATGTATGAATGTTATTTTCCTTGATTATGTTGACATGGGTGCCTCTTTCATGCAGTTATGGCTCATCCTGAGATGTTATCGGGGATCAGGCAGAGTGGGTGGTGGGAGGACTTTAGAACCCAGTCTGGGCCTCAGGGACCCCCACAGGCAGAAAATCCCCCTTAGGGATGGGGATCCTGACCCCCCCACCCCAACTCCCGGCTCAACATGGGTTGTGTTGTCTTCCACATTTACTTGCTTAGTAAATATTATTGCAGCATCTATTATTTTCCAATTAAATGAGACAATAAAACTGAACTCTGTTGAACTATAGGATATGTGGAAGCAAAGGCTTAAAAAAATACAAGTATGATCTTTGAGTAGGTCTATCTTTGGATGTCAAAGATGTCTTTCAGATTCATACTAGGAGCACCATTTAGGGTACTTAATCCTTTTGTACATTTTTACATTCCGTCATTCATTCCACAGACATTTCTGCTGCACTTTCTGGGTTCCGGCTCTGGGGTTAGGGCCAGGGACTCGGAGGTGATAACGCAGGGCCTACACCAGGTGCTCACAGTGGTGTAATGGAAGTTTGGGTGACTTCAGAGGAGGCACGGAGAAGGGAAGAGCTAAGGGAGGAGGAAGGATGCCTTCACAGGTGGTGACATTTGAATCGGGTGTTGACGGATGCCTAGGAGCTCACCAGGTAAAGGAGAAGGAACGGTATTTGAGATTCAGGAGATGCATGTGAAGGGGCTTCTGAGCCAGTGAGAAGCCTGAGTGGACACAGCTGGGGTGTGGGAGGGGAGGGAGGGGGAGGGCCCCAGGGACGGTGATCTTAGACTGTGAAGGGGTAGGACATGCTAAGGAAGCCCCACTGGGTTCCTGCAGCAGCCAAGAACTTGGAGGGGGTTGCTAGTGATGGATGGAGTGGAAGGAGTTCCCCCCGACCTGAGACCACTCCTCCCACACCTTCCCCACCTCAGAGGGTGGCACCACCACCCACCCCACCCACCCGAGGCTCAGCCAAAAGCCGTGGGTCCTCCTGCCCATCCTGCACACTGTCCAGTCTGTCAGGAAGACCCTCTTGGGTGGACAAGGGCTGCGCTATGGGGAAGGTGGCGGGCCAGGTCTGGGAGACCTGGTGATTGGGTTAATGGCCAGTTGGTACAGCCAGCCTGGGTGAGCCTCATCTGGAAATGTCCCTAGGCCTCTCAGACACGAGGCCTCTTTCCCTGAGTGCTCAGTAAAACCCACTCGGGGACATGCCAGGTGCAGGGCTCCTCTGGGAACCCTCAGCCCCTGTATCCTGGTGCCCTCGGCCTGCTACACACTGTCTCCTTCCTGGAAATTCTTCTGCTTCCCAGTCCCATGTCTGCCCCTCGCTTGGCTCGCTCCCCAGGGAAGGGTGCAGGGCCTTCCCCCTCTGCCGATGTCACCATTCTACCCAGGTTGGAGATGGGCCCAGAGTTCCTGTTGGGGAGCCCGAGGCTACTCTGCACTCCTGTCCCATCCTACACGACCTGCTTCCTCCCTCCCTGGAGAGAAAAGCGTTCTGGGTGCTCAGGGGCCCTGCCATCAGAAAAACCACATCCTTCAATTCTGGGGAAATCTCTTGCATTATTTGTCTCTTCTCTTTCTGGAACCCCTGTTAATTAGAATTTGGACCTTTTGGAGTGGTTCTCTAATTTTCTTGGTGTTTTTCTCCTACTTTCTGTAACTTCATCTTTTTCTGCTCTCTGGGAGATTTCCTCAACTTTATCTTCCGCCTCTTCTATTTATAGCTTTAGTTCTGCTGTCATATTTTAATTTCCAAGAACTCTTTCTTTTCCTCCAAATGTTCCTTGTTTCTTGGATACCGTGTGTGTCTACCTCTCGGAGGTGGGATAGTTGTTTGTCTCCAGGTTTTTCCTGCCTTGACATTGTCTGCTTTCTCCCACTTGCTGCCCTGCTGGTTTCTGGTGCAGGGTTTTGTGTCAGAGGCTCTCTGAAGTGTCTGGTGGCATTTGGCCCTCATTCTCTTTAAAGTGATGGGGGGACCGGGATGGGCTGGGATTGATCCTCTTGCTGGGGACCCTCAGTGTCAGTGTAGCTTCTGTTTTTTCACTCAGTCTCCAGCCTGGAGGGTCTAGGTGTGGGGGCTGCTATCCAGAGCCATTCCAGCTTGGTGGGGAGTGGAAGAGAGGTGCCCCTGCTGCCCCAGGGCACCAGCAGCCTGGCTTTGTCAATGGCTGGTGCCTAGGAAGGCCAGCAGTGTGGTGGCCCAGAGGAGCTGCTCAATCAGCCTGGAACAAGAGAAGGGGATGGGAAGGGAGCCGTGGCGGGCCTGGCCACCTCCCTAGGAGGGCAATTTTGGGGTCACATGTTAGAACAAGTCCCTGGGGTCTGAGCCCCACCCCAAGCAGCTTTTCCAAGGTCTCCTAGAGAGGGGGAGGGCAGGAGACCGGCTTGGGCAAGCCGGTCTCCTCAAGCTGGTGTGTTTCTGGAAAGTTTAGTGCCCATACGAGGCCTGGCTACTTATCTGCTATGCATCCTCTCTGGGTGTTGGTTCCCTCACCTTTGAAATGGGGGTGTTGAGCCTGGTGACCCTAGGATTCTTCTTGCCCAACCTTTTGTGATTAGGTCACCCTGTCGCAGGACCTGCCGCCCCATCTGGGCAAGGCTTGCTGAGTAAGCAGTCACTGAACCCCCGCTGGGCTGAGGGATGTTCAGAGGCCGGCTCATGGGGTGCCTCCACTCTCTGGCCTGGGCCCCCTCCGTGGTCATCCCCACCCGTGCACAGCTGTAGGGCTTGTGGGGTATGTGGCGGCAGCTATGGAGCCTCCAGGCACAGGACATAGAGGGCTGGGACTGGGTGAGTGGGGGGCCTGGGGGTTGCCTCCCCAAAGCCAGCCTGCACCCCCAGGCAGCAGAGGCCTGCAGGGACACAGTCCAAGAAGTAGGCCCAGGGTTACCCCAACCAGGGCCCCCTTCCACTGAACATTTGTCACCTCGAGAGGTCCTGGGCTCCCTGCTGGACCTCCTGTCACTGTTGGTGAGGGTCCTGCAGCTGTATCTACCACCTGCCAAGCTGAGAGCCCAGAGGTCATGGAGGGTGTGACCTGTAATGGTTTGCTTTTAGGGTCCCACCCTGGGAAGATGGCCTACTACAGAAAATGCATTGAAACTGTGATTGAGCAACTGGACAAATTTAAACCTGAGAAGGACAGTCCTGAGCAGTTCCTGGAGGCTGCGTCCACCTCCCTGCAGGTAGGGTCAGGGTGGCAGCTCGAGGCTCGCCGAGTCAGTGACACCTGTCATGTAGCTGTGTACTTTCTAGTACACAGCATCACACTCATTCCTCACAGCTGCTTCCCCTCCTACACGAGGAGAGGCCTGCAGCGCAATTCCCAGCTATCCAAAGGGTGGACGTCCTAAATTTCACTCAGTGTCACAATGGTGGCTGGCAGTGTGTTCACAGGAACCGCGGGGATGGGACCCCCTCTCTGCCTCCGGAGGCGTTCCTGGCCTCCTGAAGGTGCATCAGACTACTCTTGTGAAAAGGACATTGGCACCGTAACTCGGGGTATGTCCACATGGTTGCACCGTCCTCAGCTGAAAACAGACAAGAGTCAGCCTCGACTGGCACCCGGGGTGTCTCTGTGCCCCAGGGTGTGGCTGTGCTGCGGTCAGCATGGCCTGGGCTGTAACTCATTCTGTGCTTGTGTTTATCCACTGACCGGCCTCCAACAGAGCGGCAGGGGCGGACCAGGCAGTGAGGCCCATGGGAGCCCCCCACCTCCCTCATCTTCCCACCCGCCGCTGGAAGAAATAAGAGCCCCACCCTCCAGCTACCAGCTCTTGTCCCCATGCCCCAGGGTAGTCCCTGTCCCTTCCTCCCTCCTACAGCCCACCCCATTTCAAATACACACAGAGAGACTGCTGGGCTGAAGTCCCCAAGCCTGGGGAGGGCTCAGGTCTGTCCTTGCCACCTCAGCAGCCCTCGGAGGCCTCCCTCTTGTCTGGGGCTCTGACCCCTGTCCATCCAGCATGGCGGGCAGGTGCCCAGGGAGCAGGAGCTTGCATTGCAGGGGTCCCACCTTCAGGACTTTGGGGTGTGGGGCCCCGTTGGATGGGGCCTTCAGAAGAGGCCAAGTCCGCCCAGGGAAATCTACGCGATTGTCCCACGGCCTACTGCCCACCAACACTGCCCTCTGCTGGGGAGAAAACCCGCACTGCTGGAGGGAGGGGCTATTGTACAGATGCATTAATTACAGATGTCCCACTGTTGCTTTTACCTGCTCAGCTGTGGCCTCTGCTGGGCCCCCAGGACACAGACCAACCCACTTCCCTTGCGTGGGGTGGGGGCTTTTCCTCCTTCAATAGCCGCCTTGTGGTGCAGCTGTCCTGCGGGAGGGGCCAGGGCACTGAGCCGTGCTCGAAAAGGCAGACGGGGTTCCAGAAAACAAAGCCTCCCCCACAAGACAAAGCTTGGGACCACTTACCGAGTCCCTTCTTCCCAGTTTCTTCCAGGAAAAGATGTCTCTGCCAGCTGGAGCCTGGCAGTCAGCAAGGGCTGGGCGGGGGCTGCACTCCTGCGGCTGTACCCACCCCCTACACCTCTGCCCCTGCCCCAGCTCTTTCTCTGAGACCCTAAGCATTTGGGGGAAATGATGAAAACGGCCAAGGGCCAGGCCCATCCGCAATCCTTGTCTTCCCCAGCCAGCTGGAAACCCCTTGTGCAGCTCAGCCCACCGCATTCCTGCCTGGCCTGCCCCTTCCCCAGGGCCGGCCTGCACCCACCCCTTTGGCTGCTCAAGGGCGTGACCTTAGCAGTTCCCTCTGTCTGTCCCGCCTCTGTGAGTCTTTCCCATCAGCCACAACTGCTGTTGTTTCTCTCCTCCTAAAACAAAAAGACCTCTCAACTCCAATCCCCGCATCTCCGCAGCTCTCACCTCCCATTCCCAATGAGACTTCTCGGTGCCTTCACTCTCTGTCTTCAGCTCCCCCTGAGCCCCACCAAGGCTTTCCTCCACCACTCAGCAAAAATAGTAAAGTTCGTGTCTTTATTTCTCGATAATAACCATTGCAGAAAGTTGGGTTTGTTACAACAAATAGTTTGAAGACTTTTTTCCCCACAACCAATGGGTTATTAATGGTAAATGAGTCCTAGTTTTCACCTGGGGAGCGGTGGTGTCTGTGTGCACTTCTGTGAGGAGGGATCCTGTTACACCAACTCGACCCCCCAAACTCGCAGCACCCTGACTCTTCCAGGGGGCCGGCCTGGCCTCTTTGAGAGAGGCAGCTTCTTTTTCAGATGTGCTGGTCCTTTCAGATCCTTTCACAAGTCCATCATAAGTCCAGGCAGGATGGTGCACTGGAAAGTGACCCACTTTGGACAACACATTTATCTCCAGCTGTCAGGAAATTGGTGCAATATACTGCTCTTGTCAGGGCAAGGCTCAAGATTGCCACCTGGCAGAAAATTATACAGCACATAACCCGACTGGCAGAGAGTCTAGTGAAGGGCAGGGTTGTGGGTTCAATTGTCCCCAAAAAAGATATATTGAAGTCCTAACCCCCAGTTACCCTCAATGTAACTTATTTGGAAACACCATCTTTGCAGATATAATTAAGTTAAGAATCTTGAGATAAGATCATCCTTGACTGAGGATGGGCCCCAAATCCAATGACTAGTGTACTTATAAGAAGAGGGAAATTTGGACACAGACACAGAGGGGAGAGTGCCCTGTGACAACACAGACACACAGGAAGAGGGCCGTGTGACGACAGAGGCAGAGACGGGAACGATGCATGTGTGAGCCGGGGACCCCAGGGGATGCCGGCACCACAGCAGGTGGAGAAGCACAGCGTGGACTCTCCTCTGATCCCTCAAGAAGGAACCAACCCTGTGACACCTCAGTTTGGACTTCTGGCCTCCAGGACTGTGAGAAAATACATTTCTGTTGTTTTTAGACACCAGGTTTGTGGTAATTTGTAACAGCAGCCCTGGAAGCTCCTACAGACAGGTAGCCTCCTAGGGGAAGCCAAGGACAGAGGGGCTGGGTTGGGACACCCAGATTGCTGCAGAAATGCTGGGCTCTGGGGACCAGGTGGCCAGGTGAGGCCTGGCCCGCAGCAGGGGGAAAGGCCAAGGAGTGGTGGGTTTGGGGCAGAGTGTGGTGGCTCCCCCTCCAGACTGAAGTCCGGGGACCCCCACACACAGAGCAGCCTCCCAGCCCTCTGATGGGACTTCCCGCGGCGTCAGTCCTGGAGGGCACTTCTCCACGGAGAACACCTGTCACTGGGAGAAGATTTTGGTCTATAGATCAGAAAGGGATCCATTCGCCACTGAGAGAAGGTTCTCCATATCCCCACTGTGCACACGGGGGCACTAAGATGTGGGGAGTCGAGCCTTCCAGATGCCAGTCTCCGGAGCAGTTCTAGAAAAATGGAAGTGGTCTGGTCTGACGGCTGGGAACGGCTCTGAGGACCCGGCTGGCAGGTAGACAGCAGCCTGGAGGTGGAGAAAGGAGGAGGGCAGGGGGGCACCCGCAACAAGGCACGCTGCCAGCCAGCACGGGGCCCAGGTTCTCCTGTGCGCCCTGGCCAGGCCCTCAGGGAGGGAAACAGAGTCAGGAATGAGCAGGAGCTCCCCACCTGCCTCCCCTCCTCCCAGAGCACTCCCAGAGCCCCTCCAGGCTGACCAGCTTGGGCTCCAGGACAAACAGGTTGAGCACAGGAACGTCCAGAGAATCAACACGGCCTGCGGGACAGAGGTGGGGACGTGATGGGCACAGCAGGCAGCTTGGGGCGTCCAGAAAGTCCATGAGGTCAAGCAGGCTTCAGAGAAGGGTCTGGCTTTAAGAGTGATTCCCTGGGGGTGGGGGGTGGGGATGAGGGGGACCAGGCAGAGGGACCTGCATGAGCCCGGACTGTGGTGTCCTGACCTGCAGCCAAGAGTGAGTCGTTGGTCCAGGTGCTGTGTGGGCAGAACCTTGAACCCCAGGCCAGGAGATCTGGGCCACTCAGCAAACCACGGGCGAGGGCAGGCGGGCAGGCAGGTTCTGAGCAGGGGAATGAAAAGGTCAGTGCAGGGCTGGCAGGAGAGGTGCCAGCGCAGCGGCTGGTCAGTCAGACAGTCCAGGGTGAGGCAGGGGTGGGGAAAGGCCCAGCTCAGCACCGGCCCCCAGCTGGAGGGAAAGGGGCTTGTGCAAGATGTTCGGGGAAAGCAGGGGCCTGGCTGGGGGGGGCCGGGGGCCTGGAAACACCAGCCCAGGTCCTTGTACAGAGGCAGCAGTGGCCAGGTGCCAGAACGCCTTGTTCTTACTTTCCTAGTCAGTAGTTTCGGAGAAAACTTGGTCTTGGGAAATATTTTTTATTTTAATATTCTTTTTAAATACCTGATGTATTGACATCAAAGATCCAAGATCCAAAAGGTTCAACACGGTGTCCAGTGGAGGTCTCCCTCCCGCACGGGCCCTCCCAGGGGACCAGCAGAGACCAGTGCCCTGCGGCTCCTTCCAGAGACTGTCCAGGCCTGTCTTGCATAGATATTCGATCTGGCAACAATTATGTTTAAATTATATAAATTTTGTATACAAAAATTACGTATAATGATATATAAGTTATACATAGTTTTTATATATAATTTTTAAATGTTTACAAGATGGTGGCCCATTGTCACCTAGTCCTGCACTTTTGTTTTCCCTTAAGGTGTCACGGGGATTGTTCCATATTCTTATCTTACAGCTGTAGGCATCCCCTTGCCTGGCCGCGCTGTATCATCGTAACCATCCTCTGCCGATGGGCTCGTAGTTGTTTCCAATCTTTTGCTGTCACAAACCACCATGGGACTGCCTGGCCATTGTCCCTCTGCACCTGGGCGAGTGCACCCACGGTCAAGTCCCAGAAAACACAGATTCTTGTGATTTCAATAGAGATTGCCAGTTGACTCTCCATGGAGATCTATGTATCGACACTCTCCCTGGAAGGTAGGGGTGTTTGTCCCCCTATAGCCTGGGTTATAGGATGCTAGCAAACAGTTTTATCTTTGCACTTGGTGTAGTTATAATCAGCATTTCTCTTATTCTATTTTCATGAGTTTTGAAGCAATATATATTTCTTTTTCTGAACTATCTGCTTGGACCTGCATCTGCTAGGAAACAGTGTTTGGCTATAACAAAATCCAGAAAAGCAGTAGCTTAAAGAAATTAAAGGTATCTTTTCTGACATAAGAAGCAATGTAAGGTGGGTTCAGCAGCTCCATGGTGCATTAGGAATGCATTCTCCTTCCACTCTGCTTAGCCATCCTGAGAAAGTACCTTTGCCTTGTAGTCACAAAATGGCTCCCCTACCTCCAGCATTGCATCTATATCCCAAGTGAGAAGAGGAGAAAGGCAAACAGCATAAGGCAGGTGCCAGCTGAATCTGCCTAACTTTCAAGGAGCTTTTTTGGAGGCCACACATAGCAATTTGCCATTAAATCTCATTGAGTAAAGGCATGTGCCACATGGCTCCATCAGCAAAGGGACTAGAAAGTTTTAGCAGGGCACATCACCACCACTGAGGTGGCATTTTTCTGTTAGGCAGGAGGAAAGGGAGAAGGGATTGTGTGGACATCCAGCAGCCTCAATTTCCTTTGCCTACTTTTCTAACTGACTTCGGTCTTTGCATCAGTGATTAGCAGGAGCCCCTAGGTATTGGCAATATGAATGACAAATTCTGTGCGGTGATTAAATCAGCCTCTAGGCCCCTTCCCGCCCTGGACCCTGGTCTAGCTCCGCCCTAACCCTGTGGTTCCGCAGAGAAGCTGAGTCTGGGAACTCTGAGTGACTCCTGCAGGAGGCAGCCAGTGACTGTGAAAACCCGGCAGGCTTCAGGCCTCTGGTTCCCTTGCTCCTTCCCAGGACTGCCCATGAGACTGTTATCCGAGTGTTTGCTGCTCTCCCTGGGTCTGGTCTGGGTCTCTGGACTCAGGATCCCTGAACTGGACAAGGGCCAAGATCATATCACAAGCCAGAAGCTGCTTAGGCCACTGCAGCCCTCTGGCCTTGGTGACTGAGGCTAGCCCATAGTCAGGGGCCGGCTCCAGTACCTGGGCCTTCCCAGTGCAGTTCAGGCCTCACCCTGCCTCCTCTGGGAGAGCCCACCCAGCCCAGGCCCAGCAACCCTCTGCTGGCCCAGCCAGAAGGACCTGGTCTAGAGCTCAGTGCTCAGTGCCCTCTGACCCATGTCACCTCTGGGCCTCAGTCTCCTCTCTGTGACTGGCTGGGCTGACCTTCCCTGGTGGCGAGGACCTGCTGGCCATGGGCCCAGCCTGGCACGTGGGCCAGGGTGTCATTTACTGCTTGGCTCTGCGTCCTCCAGGACCCCTGGGCTCACTGCAGCCCTGCCTGACCTCCTTGCCTGGGGACTGATGGCATCAGGGACTGCAGCCACAGGCTCAAGGCTCTGACCTTATTAAAAAATACATACTCACACTTCCCAAACGCAGACGTAATTAATGAGAAGTGGAGTTGCTGTTGTCTGAGCCTTGGAGGCAGAGGAGGTGGTGTCCTGCAAAGTCACGCACCCTCAGCTCAGGTGCGCTGACTCGGCGTCCTCGGTGCCAGCCCTGCTGACTCACTGCTTTCTGACCTGCCTGCTCGGGGCCCCCTGGGCTTCCTTTGACAAAATGTAGCAAGTTAAAAGAGGGAACTGGGGCTGGGCTGGGGCTGGTGTCCTCCGGCGTGGGTGCAGCCCAGAGGTCAGAGCAACCTGAGAGGAAACCGAGGCAGAAGCCTGGTTGCTGGGACCAGGCTGACCCTGAGTAAGAGCCCTCCACCCCTTGTGCTCCAAGGGGAGGAGCCCCAACTCTGTGCCCAGCCTGTACTCACGGGATGCGCTGGGTTCCCATGACCTCCCATGGAGGCAGGGCGTTGGTTCCCTCTCTCCTGAGCACCCAGGTGACATTCTAACAGGGAGGGGGCAATAAACCACCAGTGTGTGCTGCCAGCCGAGGGGGCTAGGCAATGTCTGACCGTAAGGGGTGGTCAGGGACACCTCCTGGGCCAGGTAACATCTGAGCAAAGACTCAACGGACGTGGGGGAGCAAGTGTGCAGGGAAGAGTGTTGCAGACAGGGGGAACAGCCAGCACGGAGGCCTTGAGGAGACATCCTGTATGTTGGAAAAATAGAGGGAGGCCAGTGTGGGTGGAGTGGAGCCAGGGTCAGGTGGGCCAGGGAGCTGGGCCAGCCCACACAGGGCCTCGCCGGCCATTGTAAGGACTTTTCTTCTGGAAGGTTCTGAGGGAGGATGGACATGATCTGACTTCCATTTTACAAGAATCTCGTGGCGGCCGGGTTGGCAATAGACTGAGGAGAGGCAGGAGGAGAAGCCCGAGCGCAGCTGGATGCCCCAGCAGATCAATGGGATGTGGGGTGAGAGATAGAATGGTGTCACAAAGGACTCCACGGGTTCAGTCTGAAGAGCTGGGAGCAGGGGTTGCATTTCCTGAGTTGGGAAGGCTGGGAGGGGCAGGTCTGGGCGAAGCCCAGGAGGTCAGCCTCAGACACGTTCTCGCTGAGACGGCTGCCAGATATGAGAGTGGGGAGTGGAGCAGGAGCGGACAGAGCTGCTGGAGTTCAAGGAGGCTGGCCGGGCGCACACCTGGAAGCAGCTCGTTTGCAGCCTTGATGCAGGGTGAGGTCACCCGGGGGGTGATGTAGATAATGGAGAAATGAGGTCGGAGGACTGGACCCTGAGACCCTCTAACACGCAGAGGTCAAGAAGATGAGGAGGAGCCTGCCGCGGAGCCTGAGGGCAAGGGTGGTCAGTAGGAGAACATTACTACCCCTGTGTCGGTGGGGGTTGGTTCCAGCCGGAGCCCAGAAGCCAGTCCAGGCCCTCGGAGGAGCAAGGGCTTTAATGCACGAGTCTTGTGCTCAAAGCCGTGGGCAGGGCTGCGGAATCAATGTCTGGGGATGCCCCGGCTTTCCAAGCGTGCCGTGCCTTGACGCGCTCCAGCAAGTCCCGGGTCAGGACAGCAGGGAGCCGCCGTAGCACAGCTGCCCGCCGCCCGTGGCTGGCGTCTACCACCACTGATGAGGGAGCAAGAGGGGCGTCATCTCCCTTGCCCCTCCAATCTCTCCTGTAAGTGTATCTCGTTAGCAGAACCAAGCTGTGCCCAGAAGCCTGGAGGCAGAGCCGACTGAAGAACAGCTCTCGGGCTTCCAGCCCCTGTGGTACGGGGGGCCTGGAAGGGAGTGGGAAGAACACTGTCTGCCAAGACAGTATCCAGAGAGGCCCACTCCCACGTGCAGAGACCGAGGCTCCACAAGGTCTTCCGGCTTGTCCAGGATCCCTCAGGTGACCTCATTACTCTCTTGTTTTCTTAGCATGAAAACAGGGGAAGGAATCACAAAGGAAAAGATAGATTTGACCTCAAAAAATGTTTTACACAAAGTTAAAAGTCAAATTAGAAACTCATGACAAATAACTTATCACATTAATGACCCTGTTAATTGCCTTAATATATAAAGAGCTCATATAAATGATTAAGAAAAATACTGTCCCAATTCAAAAAGTCAGCCAAGAACATAAATTGATAATTCACAGAAGAGAAATACAAATAAATGTCCAGTAAATGTATGAAAATTTAACTGATAATAAAAAATCCAAAATAAAATGACGAGATACCAAAATTTATCAAATAGATGGGGAAAAATAATTTTTTTAAATGACGCTGCTGGTGAGAGTTTATTTTGATGCGTTTTATATCTATTGGGATCCTGGTCTACCTTTGCGTTCTATAGTGTGTTAACTACTTTGTCATCTCATTATAAGTTTTCCAGGAACATCATTGTAGTGGCTGATCAACCTCATCCATGATGTGGAGAGATTGTATTAGACAATGAGTCCCTGTGGTTGACATCTGGGTTGTTACCATTTTCCTCCCTGCACGTACCCTTGCCCTGAACGTCTTGTATGTGGCTATTTTCTACATTTTGGATGGTTGACTTAGATTCCCAGAAGTACAATTACTAAATCAAAGGGTATGGAAAATATAAGGTTCTTGAAACAGATTTCCAATTGCTTTCCGGAAGGACCCACAGCATCCCTTGTGATGTGTGAGTTTTCAGCCTTTCTCCTTGCTGTGCTGGCAACATTGGAGGTTCTTTTTTTCTTCTTATTTTCAACACCTGAATTATTTTTTTGGATAGGTAATACATGACACACACAGGTTACAAACTCTGAAATGTTCCAGAGGGTAAATGGGGAAAAGTCAGTCTCCTCAAGCCCCGTTCCTTCCCCAGAGAAAACACCTCTCTTGCAGTTAGTTACCTGGGGAGTTCCGTCTGGCTTTGTACGTTTCACAAGCTCTCCTAGAGATTTGCCTTGCTTGTCCTTTTTTTTAAAAAAATTTTGGAGTTTTTTTTTTAATCATTAATTTGGAAACCTTTATAGGAGCTTGCTCTCTTTTTTTATTGTGATAAAATACACATGACATAAAATTTACCATCTTAACCATTCTTCAGCGCACAGTTCAGTGGCATTAAGTGCATTCACATTGATGTGAAACCTTCACCACCATCTGTCTCCAGAACTTGTCATCATCTTCCCAAACTGAAACTCTGTCCTCATTAAACACCAACTCCCCATTCCCGTCCCTCCCCAGCCCCGGCACCTGCCATCTGCTTTCTGTCTCTGTGAATTTGACTCCTCTAGGAACGTCATACAAGTGGAATCACACAGGATTTGTCCTTTGTGTAGTTCTTTTTAATGCCTCGTCACTTTCCATATTTATTTGTGTCTTTGCCTCCAACTCGCTGTCACTGCCCAGGAGAACCTGTGGGACTGGGGTAGACCTGGGGGTGGACCTGCCCTGGGCACGGCCAGCTGCTCCGGGAGGGGGCGCTCGCTGAGCTCTCCCCCAGCACGTCAGGGGCGCCTGTCCCCCCCTTGCCCTTGCACTGCGTTGTCAGCCCAACGGGGGCCTCCAGCACCCACATCTGGAGGCTGCTGCCCTCTCCCCCGGCCCTGGCCAGCGTTCCCCCTCGGGCTGCTTCTCTTCCAGACTCTGAGCCCCCAGAGGCAGGCGTTCGTTGTGGACGTTCTGTCCGGCTGCCTGGAGTACCGGAGCTTGCTAGCCGTCGTGGTGGACGCCTTCTACGTGCGGGACGGCCGGCTCTGCCTGTGGGCCGACTACAACCTCTTCGAGGGTAGGTGGCCATCCCAGCCAGCCGAGGCATGGAGCCCACGCGTGCCCGCGGCCAGGCCTGCTGCCCTTGCCTCCTGAGTGCAGGGCGCCGACGCTGTCCGCCGCACACTCAGCAGAACAGCGACCTGACGGAAGGGCCCGGGCACTCGCTCCGGGCTGGTGCAGGGTGCCTGCTCCTGGTGTCTGTGGCTCTGCTCCCCAGAGGGCTTGCCCTGCCCCTTGCCTGCTTGATCCTCCCAGCTGCCCCATGAGCAGGTGGGCCAGGTGGGTGTGTCCCCACCTTACAGATGTGGAAACAGGCTCCGGGAGAAGGCCCTCGGGCCTTGCTGCCCCATCCAGAGCCTCCGGCCCCTAAGGGAGGCACGGCCTGGCTGAGAGCGAATGCCCCCAGAAGGCCAGCCGGGTGAAGTGATGAGGCTCCATCACTGGCTGAGTTCCTGACCCCCCCACCCTGAGGTCTATGGGCAGAGCCGGCCTCATGGCTGCAGTCTGGACTGTCCTGAGGGGGATTAAATGAGATGTCTCTGCCTGGGCTTCTTGCAGGCCATCTGCTTTCATGGGGTGTGGTGACCCTCGCGGGCAGGGTGGCCAGTGCCTCTGTGGCAGAGGTTGGTCCAGCCCCTGGACGCTGCACTGGGCCTTGGTGCCCCTGACCAGGAGGGGAGAGGGTGGGGACTGCAGGGTGCTTGGAGGTCAAGCTGGGTGGCCTGATGCCAGGGCCAGAGCCAGCTCCTGGCCCCCGCCCCCTTGCCACTCAGCTCGGGTTTCATGGTCAGGGGCGCATCGCTGGCCCACACGCCAGGCACAAACAGTGCCTGCCTCAGAGGACCCACCCAGCCCAGGGACAGTCCAGTTCCAGTGGCTTGAGGCGATTCAGTCCCTCAGAAGTAACGAACTGAAATCCAAAATAGTTTCAGGGACTTTTGGCATTTCTGAGAACTTATCAAATGAGATCATATATGTGGAAGTGCTTTGAAGCCACAGAGGTTCCCACTCGTATGAGAAGACGTCATTCGTACTGTCGGTTCATGGTCATTTTCTCGCAGGTGCCAGGTGGAGCCTGTGGTTACGCACCCTGACAGTAGGGGACCCTCGGCTCTGGGTCCACTGCACCTGCAGTGCACCTGTCAGGCCCTTAGCCTCTGGCTGACTCCCCCAAGATCAAACACTAGGGGCCCGGGGGAGGGGACCCCAGTGTCCCCTCTGTGGGATGCACCCTCCTCCCCGACTCCTGCCACCCTGTTTCCTTAGTGATCTGCTACCTGGCCACTTTCCAGCTGGACGAGCTTGGCTTCCAGGTCTTCTGCAACATTGTCAAGTCCCAGCCCCTCGACAAGATGCGCAAGGTGAGCCACCACCCCCCACCGGCCCCAATTTCTGTTCTTAAACCCAAGGTCAAAAGTCTGTCCCATCTAACGCTGACCTCTCACCTTTATGACTCATTTTAAGGAAAGAAACTCTGCTGGGTTTATTCTGTGTTTAAAACAAACAGATACCCTCTCATCGCTGCAGATGTGTTCTTCTTTTCCTGGGGAATTTGGTTCCTCGTCCTCACAGTCCCGGTGGGTGGTAACTGCTGCATGTCAGCTATTAGTCGGGATAGTAGTTTGGGCCTCTGGAACCTTCTCAGGCCCCTTCTGACTCATGACCAAACTCCAGGCCCAGGGCAGTCTCTCCTCCCTCCACTGGGGCCTGTGCAGCTTGAGGGGGCTGAGGGAGGGGGTCCTGAGCCAGTGCTGAGGATTGGCACCCTTCAAGGGGGAACCTGCGGGAGCCTGCCCCCCTGTCCTGCCCCAGGGCCTCTCCTGTGGCTGCCTGTTTACTTGTCTGGAAAGCTGGGACACCCAGGCCTCGGGGCCAGCAGGACAGTGAGGTCTGAGACTGAGGCCAGCTGCTCTCTGCCTGCCAGCTCCCACAGAGCATTGGCTGTGGGCCAGGCATCCTCTGCGAGCAGTTCTTGCTTCATCCTCATTCAGCTCACAGTTGAAGAAACAGGCACAGAGAGGTTCCATAACTTACCCAATGTCACACAGCAATTAAGTAGCAGAGCTGGTTCTTGGGCCAAGGTTTTAACTGCTAGCTTCTTCCTCCTTACTCGGCTCGGGGGGCAATCACCAGACCGAGACAGCCAGTCCCTGGAGAAGAGAGGGGAACATATCAGGCCTCAGGAGTGGTTCAGGTCCTCTGTGGAAGGAAGCAGCAAGCTCTGCAGGGGCCGTTCAGGTGGGGCTGGGGGTGGAAGCCTCCCACTCCCCCGCCTCGGGAAGGGAGACCTGGAGTAGTCACGCCTGCCTGGACCACGGCCCCCAGAGATTTAGGACTGGCGACTCACACGGCACCTCGGCCACCTAACCGGTGAGATGAGAGAGAGCGCTGACCCAAGGCAGCGTTTTATTTTTAATTACGTGTTTTCCTCTCTACATATAAACATAAGCAATTCATGATAGATAAATATCTGCCTAGTTAGCTTAAGGGGTTCATTTTTATGATAAAGCAGCAAAACTAACAGCATTTTCTGAGAGATGTTTGGAGACTACCCCAGGGGCAGCTTCCCGGGGTCAGAGGACCTGCACTGGTTTCTGCTCTGCTGTCAGAGTCTTGAAATTCTTAATAATTGTTGAACAAGACGAATGTGTCATTTTGTACTGGGTCACAGTGGTGGAGCTGGCCCTGGACTGACCTTGGCCTGCAGAGGCCGGAGAGGGCAGCAAGGGACCCCTGTGGTGCGCCCTGCAGTGCAGACCCAGGACAGATGCTCAGCATGCTGGCCACACATGGCCAGTGCATTGCCCCCAGTGCAGGTGCCTGGGCATTTACCTCCCTGGAGAGTTTCTGGAAGGAGATTCGTGGAAACGGCTCCTGCATGTTTCCCAAGGGAGCTGGGAGCTGCGGCAGGGAGGCACCCCATGCAGGGCCTTCCCCCGTGCCACGCCCCACTGGGCAATGCCAATCCCATTAGGGTCCACCTGGCTTGGGGCTCCAGGGAAGAAGTTAGCCTGGGCCTCGAAGACAGGGCGCAAGCTGCTGGGGACAGGATGGCTGCCCCGTGGCCTGCCCAGGGACGCCCCCACAGACCACACCTGGGGTGCTGTTGATACTGAACCTCTTAACGTCAGGTCCATGCCTCATGTGCAGTAGGCCAGTCACTGAGACGTTGGTGCTTGGAAGTAGAGATTTATTCAAAGTGGCCAAAACGAGAAGGCAGGAGACTAGGTTCTCTCAGATCTGCCTTAACAAAAGAAGAAAGCAGGGGGTCTTTATAGGGCTGAGGGGCTTGGGAGGAGGAGTTTCAGGGAAACAAAGGAGAAGTCCGTGTTTCTTTCACTTTAGATAAGACCTTGAGCAACCAGACTTCTTGGTGTTAGCGGCAGCTGGGGGCTGGTCATCTGGTGGTCGTAACTTCCTTGAAGGCATTCTTCTTCCCCTGCAAAACAAGCTCATAAAGCCTTGTGACCCCCGAGTCACCCCTTTGGTTAGACAAGAAAACAAGTTAGCAAGCTATAATTGTGTGCAGGCATGAAGCAAGCATTTGGACTCAACAAGCACATCCAATGGGAACTAAGGTTATTTATTAACTTCTTTTCATCTGTGTCTGTGTTGGGAACAAGGTTGGAGGGTGACCATGTTCTTATGGAATATTTACGGTCACCCTCAGGTACCCGGCTTCACTGTCACAGCGATGGTCAGCAGTGACGTGGCAGTGAGCACAGCGTGCCCAGGCTGGTTCGCAGGCAGCCTCGGTCATGGTATCCACAGGATATGGTGCTGTATGTGGCTGCAGCTGGCCCGTCACTCTGGGGGTGGCCCTAGAACAGCACCTGGAGGGGGGCCGGTGGACCCCCATGCTTACATGCTGGAATTCTCCAGACAGCCAGAAAACCCATTTCAGAACCCAACGCCCATTCCAGCACGTTCCCTGGTAGGGCTGCCCCCACCAAACCCCCAGTGAGAATGGTGGCCTCATTTGGAAGAGCCCAGTCCATAGAGAGGGAGGGCTATGTCCCTGGCTGGGGGCAACGGACCAGCTGAGATGCTGAGTGGGAGGATGGGGGGGGTTGGGGATGAAAGGATGTGCCAAGTAGCAGTGGGCCAAGACGAAGAGGAGTAGAGACCCCAGTGCCCAACTGCAGGAGTTCAACCACCTCCTTCAGACAGAAAGTGGTAGTGGGGCTGCAAGATGGACATGAAATGAGGAGGAGCGGGAGAGAGGTGACAGATTGTGGCCATGGGCGAGGGGCTGAGAAGGCCTCTGTGGGGCAGGGAAGGTGGGAGAGGCTCCTGGGGTGGGGGGCACGGTGGGCAGGGGCCAGGCTGCCAAGTGGGTAAGCTGTGGAAGGCTCTAGAAGGACACCTAGCGGCTGCCATGTGAAGAAGGGTGTAGAGGCCCAAGGGTAGGTGGGAGGTGAGGACATGGCTGGGCGGGGTAGTGGCCGGACTGGGGAGGCAGCAGTGGCGACCAGAGGCCCTGCCCTTGTCTACTGCTACCCCCTCACTCAGCCATTCTGAGTTCACTGCTGGAGTCCCATGTGCGGTGGTCTGCAGCAGCCCCAGGACCCAAGGCCTCCCCTTCCCGTTGCTTTTTGAGAAGCCTGGATTGAGGGGTCTGCAGTGGTCCCCTTGATTGGACAAGGCCCTCCAAGCTGGGTGTGGGTTCAGCTTGGTAGGCGCCCCCCATAAGGTGGCCCTCAAACAAGGGCTGGTGGCCTGAGCTTTGTCCTAGCTGTGCAGAGGGCCACCTCCTGGGGCCACAGCCACCCCAACTGACTGCCAGCCATACTCTAGAAGTACGTCTCCAGCTCCCCAAGGTGGCCAGCCTCCACTGGGTAGCTAAACTGGTCCTGTGTCTTCTGGAACCAAATCTGTTAGGCTTGAGGGCCAGGAGCTAGGAAACAGCCTTCAGAAGCCCTCAGCTGCTGGAAATCCCTGCTGTTCTGGGCCATCCCAAGGGTGTACCAGGGTCTGCCCAGCAGCAGGGCCCCACGCCAGGCACTGCCCAGGGAAACAGCCTCAGTCCCAATGCTGGGACCAGCCACACAGTGCAAAGGGCTGGATGGACGGGTCACCTCCCTGGGCCCACGCACTGGCACTGCCCTGGGCAAGGAGGGGCAGGTTGCAGAAAATGGTGCAACTCCATTCTCAGAATTCCAGAGCCTATGGGGTGGGGGTGGAGGAGGCAGGCAGCTGACATCTGTCCCCACCAAGAACTCTCTGAAAGTGGGGTGTGGGCCTTCCAGGACCTGGGGAGCTGGCTTGAGCATGGGGTTCCTACCAGCGAGAACATACCCTGCTGGGCTGGGGCACGTCTAAGACTGGGGTGGGCTGCCCCAGGTACCCAGATACCATGAGCAGAGGCCCCCATGGTGAGAGGCAGCTCCTCCAGAATGGGGGGCACTGGGGGGTTCACCAGGTGGGGGGTGTTCTGGGCCCAATGCCCCTTCAGAATGGGCGGCACTAGGGGGTCCCCAGGCAGGGGGTGTTCTGGGCCCGAGGCCCCTCCAGAATGGTTGGCACTGACCGGTTCACCAGGTGGGGAGTGTTCTGGGCCCAATGCCCCTCCAGAATGGGGGGCTCTGGGGGGTTCACCAGGTGGGGGCTGTTCTGGGCCCAATGCCCCTCCAGAATGGGGGGCACTGGGGGGTTCACCAGGCGGGGGCTGTTCTGGGCCCGATGCCCCTCCAGAATGGGGGGCACTGGGGGGTTACCCAGGCAGGGGGTGTTCTGGGCCCGATGCCCCTCCAGAATGGGGGACACTGGGGGTTTCACCAGGCGGGGGGTGTTCTGGGCCCAAGGCCCCACCGACAGCTCTCACTTCTCCCTCAGTTTCTCAGGTTCTTCTTCAACCCCTTAAACCTGTGCTCATGGATCAAGGACGAGTGGAGCCTCATCTACGAGATGGCCCATGTGAAGGAGAACTGGATCGACCCCCTGATGAGGTGGGCCAGGCTGGCGGTGGACCTGCACCCCACTCCCAAGCACCTCCACGGGTTCCTCTTCTTACTCATAGGAGCCCCACGAGGGGCTGGTAATTGCTCTGCGCTGGGGTGAGGAGGTTCGGAGAAGCCTCAGCCCGTGGGGGAAGAGGAGCCCCATGGGAAGGGACGCTGGCCAGGGGTGTGGAGGCATGAAAGGGGTCCCCGGACCTTGGGGCAGACCAGCAGGGCCCTTTCCAAACCCCTGCTCCAGGGCACCCCCACCCTGAGTCTCTGCCCCCCGCCACGCCCCACTCCCGCAGCTCCCTTTCCACTTGTCGCCAACAGTACAGCTCCAGGAACGTTCCTTTTGAATCACCAGCTTCCTTCCCACTCCTGGCTTCCTTCCCCTGTGCCATCTGCTCAGGCCCAGATTAGCTCCATGTCCCAGCTGCTGCTCGTCCTCAGAGCCCCCTGGATTCCTGCAGTGGGGATCTGCCCTGTCCCCATGCTCCCAGTGCCCCACTCACCTAGCACAATGATGCCGCTGGGCCTTTCCTTGTCTGTCCTAGGGGAATGCTGGTATTTGCAGCTCCAGGATGTGTCTGGCACAGCACCTGCATAGTAGGCACTCAGTGAAGAGCGGCTGTTGGTTCCGTTATCGCCCCCACCCTGAGGTAGACCCTTCGGATCCCCTTGTCTACCTGCTTGGGAAGTGACCCTAAGCAGCTTCTCCCACCTTTGCCTTCAAGATGGCAGCCGAAGGTCCAAGAGCTGATCAACCAGCTGGAGGGGGTGTTGACCAATCAGCCTTCTCTTTCAAAGACCAAGGCCAAGGTTACAGAGCCCAAGGAGTTCAATCTGACTGCTCCCAGGCCCTGCACCATCCCAGTGCTGGAGCCAGTCCCCATCATGGCCAAGCCAAGACCAGTAAGTGCAGGCATTTGCAGTGGGCACAGGCTGTCCAGGCCAGAGGAGTGGACTGTGTGGGCCAGTGGGGGGCTGGGCTCTTCCCAGGGCCACGGGTGCACTGGACCAGACCAGAACATTCAATGACCCCACCACATCCCACAGAGAGGGAAGCTCAGCTGACCCGGAGCCTGCCCAGTGGGTTCCTGTGCTCCATGTACTGAGGTCTGGTCAGTAAGCACAGAGTGAAGCTGTCGGGCCACGGGGCTCAGACCTGTCTGGAATTGGCGCTTGGAGCCCACTTTTAACCCCGTTGCAGTGTTCCGCTCCCTCCCTGTTAAATAGTGCATATATAGATCACTATACTCTTCTATGCTCTTAGGGCAGTGGGCAGGCCATACTGTCTGCCTGTGTGGCCTGTCCTCACCTCAGGGCCTCTGCACATCTATCCCATCTGCCTGTAGCCTCTTCCTCTCTCTCCCTCTCCCTGCCTTGCTGACTTCTCCTATCAAGCAGGATGCTTTGTATTGCAACAACAGGAAAAAGCACCTCGGTATGGCCTAGATCATAGAGAACTGGCTGACTCTCGGCTGAGGTAGGAGAGGCTTCAGGCATCGTTTAATCAGAGTTCCAGCTCTGCTTCTCTGTGACTCTCTCTACCCTAGTCCCCTCTGTGGGTCAACTTTATCTTTGAGCTAACTTCCTTCATTGTAGCAAAACATTTGGGCCTCACACCCACGCTCTACACTGTCTAGGGCAGGAGAGGATATCTAGGGCCAAGAATTCTGTGAAAGTATGATTAGACTAGCTTAGGTCTCAGTCCTACCCTTGAACCGATCACTGTGACTAGAGGTGCAGTGTTCTGACTGGTCATGCATGGGCTCTACCCTGAGCGCTTGTGGTAGACTCAGCTTCCCAGAACCAATCTGGTTCTCCAACAGAATTAAGGACTATACAGAAAGTAAGGGGATGGTGCTGGAGGTCCCAGGGTCTCAGCCCACTCCCAATCCCCTTCAGGTCTCATTACAGTTTCTCTTCCTAGAGACGCTTTCCATGAACCCCTCACCTATATCAGGTCCCTCACTTAATTTCCTTCTCATTGACCCCAGCTTCTTTTCTTGGTAACATCCATTAGATTTTATAATTGTTTAGTAATTTATGGGTCTGTTTATTATCTGTCTCCTTTACTAGACCTCGTCCATCTTATTTGTCCCATATGCCCAATGCCTGGCACAGTCCTAGCTTAGAACAGACCCTTGGTAAATACCTGTTGAATGAATGGATGGATGGATGGATGGATGAGTGGATGGATAGATAGGTGGGTGGATGGTGGGTGGGTGGATGAATGGATGGAGGTTGGATGAATAGATGGATGATGGGTGAGTGGATGGATGATGGAAGGATGGATAGATAGATGGATGGATGGGTGGGTAGATGGGTGGACGGATGGAAAACAGATGGGTGGATAGGCAATCGGATGGATGGATGGATGATGGATGAATGGGCAGGCAGATGGATGATGGATGGGTAGATGATGGAGGGTGGGTGGGTGGGTGAATGGATGGATGATCAAATGAATGGACAGATGGGCAGATGGACAGACAGATGATGGGTGGACAGATGGATAATCAGATGGATGGATGGGTGGGTGGATGGATGAATGATGGATGGGTAGATGATGGATGGATGGTCAGTGGGTAGGTGGATAGATGATCAGATAGATGGACAGATGGGCAGATGGACAGATGGATTATGGATGGACGGATGATCAGGGGCCTTGTTGTTGGGCCACCCCACAGTTACCCCATCTGTAGGATCCTCAGCATTTTTTGACCCAGCTCCTCAGGGCTCAGTGTGTTTATCTCAGGTCATCCTACCAGCTGTATCTCTGTCCCCCTCTGCATGGCCCCTGCCCAGCCCCTGCCATGCCCTGCCCTGCTCCTTAGCTATGTGCCTCTCAGCATTTGCTGTGAGATGCTGATGGACAGTCACTTCCCCTGAGGTCCACAGGTGGCTGTACTGGAACCACAGGCTTGTTCCCTCTGCCCTCCTTGCCCTGCTTCATGCCCAGGACCCTCTTCCCCTCTTGGATTGAGGGCCCACTCCAATTCACTCATTCACTTATTCAACAAATATTTATTATATGTGCCAGGCACTATACCTTCATGGAGCATGTATTCCATTGGGGGCTCAGAGGAAAAACCAGATAAGTAAAATGTATGGTGTGTTAGTTGGTGATAAATACTGAGGAGAAAATATAATTCAGGGAAAAAGGATAAGAAGCATTAGAAGGGTTGCAATTCTGGATAGCGTGGCCAGGAAAGACCTCCTGAGAAGTGCTGTGGGGTAAAGAACTGGAAGAAGTGAGCAAAGCATGTGCAAAGGCCCTGGGGCAGTGCCCTCCCTCTCCGAAGTGTTCAAGCTCAGCCAGGAGGGGCTGGAATGGAGCGAGGAGAGGAATGAGGAGATGGGATGGGAGGTACTGAGGGAGCAGAGAGACAGGACAGGTGCTGAGGCAGGGTCATAGTGTCCCTCTGGCTGCAGTGGCAGAGGAGGGTGGTGAGAGGGAGTTTTGGAGATGTCTTGAAGCAGGTGGACAGCTTTTAAGATGGACGTGGGTATGAGAGACAGAGAGGTGCTGAGGAGGGCGCCGAGGAGGACCGCAAGGCCTTGACATGGGCCGGGAATGGACAGCAGTCAGGGTCAGTGAGGCTGGGGGCAGGGAGGGCTCTCAGGAAGATGAGGGTTTCGGGTTTGGACATGGTGAGTTTCCGATGCCTGTTAGACGCCAGGGGAGAGGGCACAGAGTTAGGAGTGTGGAGTCGAGGTTTCCAGGCTGGCTCTGCCCTGCCCGCCCATGGACACTGCTCCTTCTGTGTTGCCAAGTGTCCTCCGTGACTGGACCCAGTGGATGCTCCTCAGGCCACTCTGGTCTCTGCAGTATTAATGCTGTGGGCCCTCCCCTTCACTGGCAGCTCATTTTTCTGGGGTCCACGACACTCACCGGGCCTCACCTGCCCCTCCGGCCACTTCTCCTCCATCCCCTGCCCCGTCAGTCTTCCTCTGCCTGTCCGTCTGGTGTCCGGTGGGCCTGGGCCCTGTGCTTGGCCCCCTTCCTTCTTGCTGTGGCCTGACATCCTTCCATCCCTCCCCCAGATGACTGCCAACACCCAGCAGGTCCCAGTCAGAGCCCAGCGGCTTCCCTTCCAGCCCTGCTGCTCCTGGTGCAGGCACCACCTGCCCTTTACCCACCCGCAGCCGGCCACCAGCCCGGCGCTTCTACACGCCCCTCCAGATTGCACTGCTGACCACGGGCTCTTCCTTGCACCTCCCCACCAGGTCCCCAGAAGCACCTACCAGCTGCCCAAGGAGCAGCAGCTGCTGGAGATGACCAAGAGATATAATCGCTGGAAGGCTGAGGTGAGCGAGACATACAGGACCCCTGCCTTCCTAAAGACCTCTGGGGTGGGGGCGGTATGTGAAAGGGAGGAGAAGCAGGGGGAAGAAGAAGAGGGGGGAGAAGGAGAGGGAGGGGAGGAGGGACAGGGAGGAGGAGAGGGAGGAGGAGGAAGAAGTAGAAAGGGTGGAGGGGGAGGAGGAGGAAGAGCGGGGATCTGGTCTGGGCCTTCGTCCCCGCATGGCCCAAGGACACTGGGTGGTGGCCGGTGGGGCCGGAGCCGCTTGTTGCTGCTCGCAGGAGCTGCTGCTGAGGGCGAACATGGAGGAGATGCGGTGTGCGGTGCCCAGGTCCCGCGGGGAGCCACCGGTGCAGGTAACGCCCAGCCCTCCACGCCCTGGGCTGGTCTTCATGGTGGCGTTTTCTCACGTCCCAACGCGGTGTTAGCGTGGAGCCTTTCCCGGCCGGCCATGGAGGGGCAGCTTCCCAGTGCCGCCAGGACGTGCTCCTGGAGCCAGGCTGAGTACAGGCCGAGTGGGCAGGTGTAGACACACCTCCAGAACCACTAGGAGGAAACATCTTGCTCTGTCTGGGTGTTTCCAGATTTTCCGTACTGAGCATTTAATATTTCTATAAGAAAAAACCCAAGGTATGTTTGTCAACAAAGAAAAGGTGAAGGGAGCAGGACAAGGAAGGCTCGTTCTCTGTGGACACTGGCTCAGGAGGAGCTGGGCCTGGCCACCACACTCCCCACCATGGCCCACCTGGGCTGCAGTCGGTTAGGGCAGAGATGGGCCCCAAACAGCTGGGGCAGGCCAGGGGAGTGGGCACCCCTCAGAGTAGCATGCCCCAGGGGAGCTGATGGCTGAGTTCCTGTGGGGGTGGTCTTTACCAGCTGCTCCCCCCACTGTGGCTGTGGTGCCCACCCTGGGGGTGTCAGAGCAGCAGCAGGCTTGGCAGGGAGCAGACAGACTTGGGGAGCAGCCTCGGAGAGGTCATGGGGGCTAGCCCAGGGGGCAGCTTGGGAAATGGACCCCAAGCCCCATGGCCAAACTGCCTTGACTAGTAACTGCTGTTCTCAGGCCCAGCAGGCCCTGCACCTTCCCTGCCCCTGCCTGGGTGGCCCAACGCCCCCACAGGGCTTGGGAGGGCATTGGAAGACAGAGGTGCTACCCTGGGGGGCCTGTGTGCAGGGGCGGGCTGGAGGGGAACACGTGGATGGGCAGCTAGAGTTAGGACAGAGGGGCGTGGGCCGAGCCTCCCAGGGGCGCTGCACCCACTGTTCAGCCAGGGTATGTTTGCGGGCACCTCGCAGGCACAGGTGCCAGGTCCCAACTCCTGCAGGACTCCAAGAAGAAGCTGCAGCTCCAATTCCGGCCCCGAATCCTCAAGACTCCAAAGCTGACCTTCTACAGGGTGAGGGGTGCTCCTGACCAGTCAGGGCGGATGCAGGGTGCCCGTTCCAGGTGTCTCTCCCTGGAGTGCCTCTCCAGAACCCACCTCCTGGCCTGTTCTGACCCCAGGGCTTCGATGGCTGGAGCTGGAGGCCCGAGGACGGCCCCACCCTTGAGGCAGAGGGAAGGACCTGGGCAGGGGGACACTTGCTGCTCCCGAGGCTCCCCTCACGCCCCACCCAGCCGGCCCCTCCTTTCTCCCGCAGCCTAATGATGATGTCCCGGTCAAGCTGAACACTGCCGCCATCCTGCGAGAAGGGGCCTTATTCCAGCGGCAGGTGGAGAAAGAGCTGCAGAGGTGAGGGCAGCAGCTCCCCCACCTCCCCTTCAGAGGAGAGGGGGCAGGTGCTGGCTCTTCCTGGAGGGGAGGAGCTTGATGGGCAGGGCACAAGATGGGGCCTGGAGGCCTGGGGCAGGGGGTGGGCCAGTGTCAGAGTCGCAGCTGCATCTTAGAAGGATAGTCTCTGCTCAGTGAGGGAGATGCTGAGCAGGAGGAGGCTTCGCAGAAACCTGGCCCCCTCCCTCAGAGGTCACCTCCTCCCCCAATCCCTTCCCAATGCCCCCTCCCCTAGTCCGCCAGGGCTGTAGACCCCTGTGCTGGCACCGTGACTTGGGCTGTGGGTGGGAGCTTGAGTGGCTGACAAGATGCATGAGAGACAGACAGATGGACAGAGGAATGGTGGGTGGACAGACAGGTGGGCAGGTGGGATGGCAGCTGGGTGAGTAGATAAACAAGTGGATGAAGGGAGGGGCAGGAAGACGTGGCTGAAGGGTGGCTGCACAGGACGTGGACAGTTGATGGGTGGGTGATATGGCTGGTGTTGAGTGAAGAGCAGCCCACACCTGTGAACCTTGGCCTCCTGGTGGCCAGTACAGGCCCTGATCACAGGAGGAAGCCACCCTCACCTCTTTCCCTGTTTCCCCAGAGTGGATCAGCTTGTGGACGGGGCTGGGGACTTCTCTGAGTTCCTCGAGTGGCAGAAGAAGATGCAGGCAAAGGACCGGGAGGAGCAGCTGGCTGCAGGCGAGTGCCGGAGGCTGCAGGGGAAGCTTAGCCACGAGGAGGCTGTCCTGGCCCGGCAGCACCTAGTGCAGGAGAACAAGCAGAAGGCCGACCAGAAGAAGGAGGAGGTGATGTGGCCATGTGGGAGTGGCTGGGGGTCTGGAGGGCGACTGGCTGGCCATGGGGCTGGCCACTCCTGTGGTCATTGGCTTGCAGGCTGATCTGGCTCATTTCCTCCTATGACATGTAGAGTGGCCGCAGTTTCTTTGTCCCCACCTCGACAGGTGGGGGTTCTGGCAGTGTTTCAGATCGGCTGGCCAGCACTTCTGGTCCAGGCTGCCCCCTGCCCCCACCAGCAGGGTCAGTTGGTCCACACATCCACACATGAAGGAAGACCTGAGGTCCTGGGAGAAACTTCCGGAAGGCTGACATGTTTGCATATGGTATCCTCTCCCACAGGAGGAGGGTCTGTGCATGTCCACGTTACCACTTTAGAAGCTCCAGACACATCAGTCCTGGCTCTTTCTCCTCCTAGGACAGATGGCCTAGGAAAGCCTGTTGCTTCCAGTGGGCCATGCAGGGGCCTGGACAAGGGAGGAGCCCGCTGGGCCTGGAGGCCCGGCTTCAGCTCTGTCTCCCCTTAGATATGTGCCAATGAGGGCCAGCAGTCCAGGGACACGCTCGAAGTTCACTCAAACTACTTCTTCTGAGACTCATTTGTGTCTATTTGTACTTAATGTTAGGGTTTGCTTTTCCTTTTCAGTTTACTTTCTTAAAAATGTGAAGTCAAAACAACATGACAAATAGACTCAGAGACATCTCACTTCTCGTAAGTCTCTAACTTACAGCCCATTTCCACCTACCCCCATAGGTCCTTATTTTCATTAATTTCTGGATTATCTTTTCTGTGTTTTTTTCTAAGCAAATATATGTGCTTGTTTATACACACTTCTTACTTCCCTTTTTTCTTACATAAAATGTCACACCTTGCTTTGTCTGCAATGAATAATGTGCAAGTTTTTCATATTTGTGGAGGTAGATTTTCAAGGTAAACTTCTAGAGGAGAGATTGCTAAGTCAAAGATTAACTGAACGTAGGGCTCCTGTTTTGTTGTTCTTGTCGTTGTTATTGTTGTGGATCTGCAGTTTTATTAGACATGCCACATCATCTTCCCCAGGGCTTGCACCATCTCTCCCCAGCTGAATTCAGGAATTTTCAGGAATTTTTCCCAATCTTGTAGGTGAGAAATAGTATCTCGGTGTAGTTCTGATTTGCATTTCATTTATTATGTGTGAATTTGAGCATGTTTTCATACATTTAAGAGCCATTTCTATATCTTGTCCTCTGAACTATCTGTTCATGTCTTTTGTCCATTTTCTTCTTTTCCAGCTTTATTGGGGTATGATTGACAAATAAAATTCATATATATTTAAGGTGTGTAACATAATGATTTGATATACAGGTACATGTGAAATGATCACCACAATCAAGCTAATTAACATATCCATCACCTCATATGGTTACCTTTCTCGTGTGTGTGTTGAGAACACTTGAGATGTACTGTCTTAGCAAATTTCAAGGATAACATACTGTAGCATTAACTATACTCACCATGCTGTACATTAGGTCCCTAGAACTTATTCATCTTCTAACTGAAAGTTTCTACCCTTTGACTAGCATCTCCCCATTTCCTCTACCCCCCAGCTGCTATAACAACCATTTCTACTCTTTGTTACTATGAGTTCGACTTTTTTAGATTCCACATATAAGTGAGATCATACAGTATTTGTCTTTCTGTGTCTGGCTTATTTCACTTAGCATAATATCCTCCAGGTTCATCCGTGTTGCTGCAAATGGCAGGATTCCCTTCTTTTCTAAAGCTGAATAGTATTCCATTGTACATATGTATGCCACATTTTCTTTATCCATTCATCTGTCAGCAAAAACTTAGATTGTTTCCATATCTTGGTTACTATGAATAATGCTGCAGTAAACATGAGAGTGCAGATATCTCTTCAGGATAGTGATTTTATTTCCTTTGGATAAATACTTAGAAGTGGGATTGCTGGGTCATATGGTGGTTCTATTTTTTATTTTTTGAGGAACTTCCATACTGTTTTCCATAGTGGCTGCACCAATTTACATTCCCACCAACAGTGCACAGGGTTCCCTTTTCTCCACGTCCTTCCCAGCACTTATCTTTTGACTTTTTGATGATAGCCATCCTGACAGGTGTGACGAGATATCTCATTGTCACTTTGATTTGCATTTCCCTGATGATTAATGGTGTTGAGCATCCTTTCATATACCCGTTGGCCATTTGTATGTCTTCTTTGGAAAAATGTTTATTCAGGTCCTTTGCTCACTTTTCAATCAGGTTATTTTATTTTGTTTATTTTTTATTTTTTTGTTGTTGAGTTGTATGAATTCCTTATATTTTTTGGATATTAATCTCTTATTGGATATATGATTTGCAAAAATTTTCTCCCATTCTGTGGGCTGTCTTTTCATTTTGTTGATTATTTCCTTTGCTGTGCAGAAACTTTCTAGTTTGATGTAGTCCCATTTGTTTATTTTTGCTTTTGTTGCTTGTGCTTTTGCTATCAAATCCAAAAAAATCATCACCAAGACCAATGTCAAAGAGCTTTTCCCCTATGTTTTCTTCTAGAAATTTTATGGTTTCAGGTCTTACATTGAAGTCTTTGATCATTTTGAGTTGGTTTTTGTGTCTGGTGTAAGATAGGTGTCCACTTGCATTCTTTTGGATGTGGATATCCAGTTTTTCCAATGTGATTTATTGACGAGACTAGCCTTTTCCTGTTGAGTTTTCTTGGTGCCTTTGTCAAAAACTAGTTAACTGTGTCCATTTTCTATTGAGATTTTAACCTTCATTTCCGTGATTTTATTTATTTTATTTTTATTTTTATTTATTTGTTTTTTTGTGTGTGAGGAAGATCAGCCCTGAGCTAACATCCGTGCTAATCCTCCTCTTTTTGCTGAGGAAGACCGGCTCTGAGCTAACATCTATTGCCAATCCTCCTCCTTTTTTTTCCCCCAAAGCCCAGTAGATAGTTGTATGTCATAGTTGCACATCCTTCTAGTTGCTGTATGTGGGACGTGGCCTCAGCATGGCCGGAGAAGCGGTGCGTCGGTGCACTCTCGGGATCCGAACCTGGGCTGCCAGTAGCGGAGCGTGCGCGCTTCACCGCTAAGCCACCGGGCCGGCCCGATTTCCTTGATTTTATAGAGTTCTTTATATATTAGGGAAAGTAACCCTTTATCTATGATGTATTGTTACAGATATTTTCTTCCAATTAGTCATTTGGCTTTACTTACGATGTGTTTTGCCATGCAAATGTATTTCTTATGTCATCAAACTCAATCTTTTTTTTTTATTGTATCTGGATTTTGAATAGTGAAAAAAGTTTTTCCCATACCCTGTTGTAGATGAATTCGTCCATGTTTTCTTGTAGTATTTATGTGGTTTCATTTTTACATCTGGATCTCTAATCCAGTTTATTCTTGTACATGGTGTGAGATCTAGATCCACTTTTATCTTTTTCAAATGGACATCCAGTTGAGCCTTCCATCCATGAATGCAGTATGTCTCTCCATTTATTTAAATCTTTTATTTCTTTCATCTGTGTTGTATAGATTTCTGCATACGAGTCCTGTGTATGTTCCGTTAGATTTGTACCTAAGTATTTCTTTTTTTATTTTTGAGTAGTTATGAACGGTATTGTATTTTTACTTTTGGTGTCCATATGTGCAATGCTAGTACGGAAAAATGCAATTGATTTTTGTGTGTTAATCTTGTATCCTATGACCTTGCTGAACTCTCTTATTAGTTTTCTAGGACAAACAAGGAGTTTTATCACAGAAAATCCCAAGGCATTTTCTGTGAAACAATACTGTCGTCTGTAAATAAGAACAGTTTTATTTCTTCCTTTCTGATCTGCATTCCTTTTATTTCCTCTTCTTGCCTTATTGCACTGGCAAGAACTTCCAGTAATATGTTGAACAAAATGTTGAGAGCAGACATTTGTGCCTAGTTCAACATCTTAGGGGGAATCAGTCTTTCACTATTAAGTATAATGTTAGATATAGGTTTTTTGTAGGTGTGTTCATTATCAAGTTGATGAAGTTCCCCTCTATTCCTATTTTTCTGAGTTTTTTTTCCACGAAGGGGTATTGAATTTTGTCAAATACTTTTCTGCATCAAATGATATGATCATGTGATTTTTATTCTTTAGCCTGTTAATATGGTGGATTGACACTGACAGATTTTCAAATATTGAACAGCTGTGCATCCCTAGAATAAACCCTATTTGGTTATGGTATATAATTCTTTTTACATATGCTGAATTCCATTTGCTAATATTTTGATTTTGTTAAAGATTTTTTTTGCACATAGTTTCATAAGGGATGTTGGTCTGTAGTTTTCTTTTTTGTACCATCTTTGTCTGGTTTTGATATCAGGGTAATTCTAGTTTCATAAAATGAATTTGCAAGTATTCTCTCCTCTTTTATTTTCCAGGAGAGATTGTGTAGAATTGGTGTTAATTCTTTCAAGATTTAGTAGGATTCTCTAACGAAATCATCTAGGTCTGGAAGATTTCTGATTTGGAAGTTTTTAAATTAGAAATTCATTTTCTTAAAAATGATAGGGCTATTCAAATGATCTGTTTCATATTGAGTGAGTTGTGGTAGTTTGTGTTTTTTGAGGAATTGGTCCATTTCACTCATTTGCCAAATTTATGTTTGTAGAGTTGTTTGTAATATTCTGTTACCACCTCTTTTTTTATGTCTGTAGGGTCTATCTATAGTGACATAACCTATTTCATTCTTTTTTTTTTTTTCTTTTTTTGTGAGGAAGATCAGCCCTGAGCTAACATCCATGCTAATCCTCCTCTTTTTGCTGAGGAAGACCGGCTCCGAGCTAACATCTATTGCCAATCCTCCTCCTTTTTTTGTCCCCAAAGCCCCAGTAGATAGTTGTATGTCACAGTTGCACATCCTTCTAGTTGCTGTATGTGGGACTCCGCCTCAGCATAGCTGGAGAAGCGGTGCGTCGGCGCACGCCCGGGATCCGAACCTGGGCCGCCAGTAGCGGAGCACGTGCACTTAA